AACTTTGTACAGCCATGGATTCCCACGAGTCATGTTGCAGATGAAGAAACAGATCCACACAGTGAGACAAGCCCAGGTGGGTCTCTGGCCCTTCCTCCCTGCCCTGAGATCCGTCTGTCAAGTGCTCTGTTTTTTTCCCCACTTTGAACTGACTGGTTACTCGAAGGAAATGAACGAAGGATGTTAGCTTTAAGCCGACCCAGCCTTTGACCACAGCCGAGCTGAGGCGAACGGCTGGAACTCTGCTACATCTGGGCCGCTCCACCCTGTCCTGTCCGTGGCTCCATCCTTCTGGCTGTCACTCTTCCTCTTCCCTCTCCCAACCAAACCTGAGCAGCTTTGAAGCATAACCTGGAAAGGACAGGGTTGCTGCTGCCAGTGACTCCTCAGAAAGCACAGCCTCAGCTTCCTGTCCCGTGTGTCCCTGGAAGCTGTACCCTGACTTTGCTCCCAGGGACCAGCTGGAGGCCACTTGGCCAGATAGCCCAGGGAACAGACCTCTTAAGGGATCTCCTGTTTGCTTGTGGACCCAGCCTGGGCTCAATGCTGGGCCAGCAGATGGTGGGTTACAGAGGGGTCAGCCTGCCAAGTGCACCTGAGGGGCCTGACCTGACACAAGCCATTTTGTCCCTAGATCCCAGCTGGGACTCCTGCTCCTCTAAGCATGGCAGAGGTGGAGGAGACAGCACAGGCACAGAGCATGGGACAGGGACCCCAGAGTCTGGATTCAAGTCCCGGCTCTGCTAGTAACTCACGTGAGCCAGCTTGAGCAAGTCCCTTCACCTTGCTGAGCTTCCTTGCCTGTAACACGTGGGTGGTAATGCCCTCTTCGTGAGGCTGCTGTGAGGACGAGGCAGTGCTTGTGAAAAGTCCAGCGCTGTACCTGGGGCTGAGTAGATGCTTCACGAATGCTGAGTCTGAGAGGCAACTGGAGCTGGTGAGAATGGGGTCGCCTGACTGTCATGCCAGCCTCCCTTCCAGGCCCACTCTTCCCCTCCCTCTTCCCTGAGGAAACCAAGTCTCCCTTCTCAGGAAGAACTGGGGGAGCTGAGAGGATCAGTACAGGAATGCCCGAGGGAATCCAGTGGGTGGGCAGGCTTCTCTGGAGCCCCCCTCAGCAGTTTCATTCCATTCCTGGGCTGAATCCTTACCCTGGCCCTACCTCCCTTCTGGGTCAGTGCCTCCTGACACGGAGCCTCCCTATGTGCTCAGAGACCCCGGGCTTTCAGTCAGTTACTGGCTGTGGAAGGACATCATTGCGACAGGAAGTCAGCAGCTGCAGGAGACAGGCCTCAGCGCATTTCCCCTTCTGCCAGGACGGGCTCACGGACATCTTTTCTTGGTAGCAGGGTGTCTGCACCATGGAAACTTCCCCTCTTCTAGAGCAGACTGGGAGTTGCCTGTATTATGCCTGAACCCTCCTCAAACCCATGGTCCTGGAGAAAGCGTCTTGGAACCAGAAACAGCAACAGGAAAGGAGCCTCCCTCGGAAGGGCAGGATGTCGGTCTGAGGCCCTTCCAGATCCTGGGCTACCCGGAGGCCCGAGCAGCGGCTGCTGTGGCCTGTACTTGCTTTTATTATTTCCCATATGTGGCTGTTGTCCAAGTTAAGTCACCAAATGGTGCTAGAGGGGATGGCAGAGAGCAGCTTGTCCAGCTCCTCTCCATGACTCGGTTAACACACAAGGAGACTAAAGGCCTGTTTGAACCCTTACGAGATCCGGCTGTCCTGCATCTACACAATGAAGATGACAGAGCTAGCTGAGGTCTTCAGTAAGAAAGGGGTCCGTGTACACGAAAGGGCTACCTGGGCAGTGTCATACCTTCCATCTTTGTATGCAGCCCTTTGGGGACCATCACAATAAGAAGTGAGGGCAGAGGTGAAGGAAAGGGGGCTCCACTGCCCAGGCAAGGTGTTACCACGTGTTGAGACCAGAGTGTGAACCCTCAAGTGCTTTGGGGGAACCACAGTCTCTTCCACTCTTGGGTCCTGCATCCTCAGGGAAGCTCCTATGCCTCCTTTCCGTGTTGGGGCTCTATCTGCAGAGAATCGGGTGCCCAGCAGTGAGCAAGGACTGGAGGAAGCTCCAGATCTGGAGGAGGCAGAGAGACTGGATGGAAACCTGCAGCAAGGGTTTGGGAGTGGGAAGTGAGGAAACGATGGGGTTATCTCCATCACAGACGGCAAGGCCACAGGTGATCCGAGAACTATTTTTGTCTGAAAGGCAGGCAGGCACAGGCTCTCTGCTTTTGACAGGCGGTGTTGCAGTGGGAGGAAGGCAGCTTCCTGGCAGCGAGGTAGAAATACTAGAACAGCTGGTACCAAGTTATTGAAAATTCAAAAGCAAACAAGACACAGCAGCCCCAGGTGGTGTGTTTCGCTGAGGAAGGGCAAGCCTGTTTCCTCCCAGTGGTCCTGAAGCCGGAGGAAGAGGAAACAGGGAGGGCTCTTCTGGTGATGTGGCGGCCTCGGGCTGTTTATGTCTCAGTATGAGCTTCTGGTACTAAGGGTCTGCCCTGCGCCAGGTCCTCAGCATGCGCTCTTTATTTCTCACGATAATCCTAGGGGAAGGGGCCTCCATTTACACAAAAGAAATGCAGCTCAGAGAGACCAAATGACAGCTAGTGAGTAGTGCTGGGCCTGAACCCCAAATGCCAGGCCTGAACCCGAAAGTCCACACTCTTGCCGTAGCTGCTGAGGCAGGCAGGAGAGCTCCTCGGGAGGAAAGGGAGGGGCATTCAGGGCCTTCTCTGAATCACTCCCCAAGCCAGAGAAGACCTGGTTCCCGCTGTCCCCGTTTCCAGGCACAGTCAGGCGGCTATTGTAGCATCCCTCCCAGCCCAACCAGTGCCGGCCAGACTCCCACCCACCGACCTTGACTAGACAGAAGACAAACAGCCACCTTTTAGTCTTCATCCCAACAGGTCCAGGCGTCAGAGTGACAGCCACGTGGTTCCTAAGGGACTGTAGGTCTAGGAATCATTAGACACTCCCTCAGACACGCACGGGGCCCTCATCTTCCCCACACTGCCCTTGGCCTCCCCTGTCTGCACTCCTGGAGTATTTGCACTGGTCTAGTCCACTCCAGGTTGCACTCATTAGGAACTCAAGATTCTCGTAAAGAAAGCTGTTTCCCAAGTTGCCCTTGTCCCTCTGTTATATCTGGGGGTTGGGGAAGAGCCCTCATGGGCCAGTGTTGGCAAATACAGGAAAAAGGGAGAATGCTGGAGAAGCTGGATTTGGGGGAGAGGTTAAAGACATGACAAGAACCCCAAGAAAAGGTGAGTGGTGACAAAAGTCTGTTGAGTTACTGTGATTTGCTGCTTTACAAATCCACTCATCCGATGGAGAAGAAATGGCCAAATGACTGGGCCTGGAGCAGGCAGAGTCCAGAAATGGCCCCTGGGGAGTCCTTTGTAAAGGATGGGGTGGAGGTGAGGACCAGTCTCCTGGAGGTGGGGATTGCTGGGGTTTCCTCCCATAGCCCCTGTGCTCCGGGAAGTCAAGGCTGCAGTTTGCATTAAGGACAGATGGGCAGATCTGGGCTCACATCCTGGAAACAGGATTAAATTGTGAACCCCCTAAATGAAATGCAGGTGGACAGCAACTGAAACGAGCTGAAGAAAAAAAATCCCTCTTTCGCTCCCACAGGGCAGCCCTACTTCCCGGCCCACTCAGGGAGAGTCGTGGAAGGACGGTGGTGTTCCCTTTGGAGACAAGGGGGCTGGGCACTTGCCTCAGGCTTTAAGGAAACCGTCCACTTTCTAAAAGACCTGGCACCACATTTCCCTCCATCTGGATCCAGGAGCTGTCTGAGAACAGAAAGGTCAGAGGCACTTGAGAGTCCTGCTACATCACAGCAGGCAGAGACAACAGCCTTCATTGTCTTTCAATTTTTAACTGTTGGCCAGTACCGTGGCTCACGCCTGTAATCCCAGCACCGTGGGAGGCTGAGACACGTAGATCACCTGAGGTCAGAAGTATGAGACCTGCCTGGCCAACATGGTATGCAAACTATTAGCCAGGCGTGGTGGTGGGTGCCTGTAATCTCAGCTCTTTGGGAGGTTAAGGCAGGAGAATCGCTTGAACCTGGGAGACGGAGGTTGCAGTGAGCCGAGATCGCACCATTGCACTCTAGCCTGGGCGACAAGAGTGAGACTTGGTCTCAAAAAAAAAAAAAAAAAAAAAACAACAACAACAAAAAACAAAAGCTGTTCAGCTCACCCAGCAATGTATTTCAGCACATGATGAATGACACCTGTGGTGTTCTGGTCCTTAAGAAACATGCCCACGTATCACTGGCCCTTCTGGCCTCAGTTGTTCCTTCCGTGTAATGGATGAGGCAGGTTTCATTGGGACTTAGCCTCAGTGTTAAGTGCTTTAGGTCCTCTGGTATGATATTTTTAAAAGGTCCAGGATGAGTCTTCTAGAAATTCTGAAGTAAGTTTCAATGTGAAAAAGGTACATTCTCTTTCAAATTCACGGAGAGACATTCTGGTTGTCACCTATGACGTAAAACGAAAATGGTGTATCTCCTGACTGCAGCCGAGCCTGTCCTTGGTCCCGGCTGCAGCTTTACTCCAAATATGCACATTCCTGGAAGCTAAACAGCTGTGGGTAGTGGGGTTTGGGGGAGCTAGAAAAAAGCCCCTGAAGGAGAGCTGGCATCATGCATGTAATTGCTAACCTCGTCTCAAGGGATGTTTTTCTCCTCTGGGCCTTGACATCCTGCATGTCAAGTCCCATTGGACAAGATATTTCGTAGTGGGCTCTGCCGGGAAAGTAATCGGAAGGTGCCTGATGAACCACACCCCCACCCAGACACAAACTTACCCACCAAGGGAGCTTCTTTGAAACGGCTCCTTTCCAAAGACGGGAGGGACGGCCCGTCCCTGGCAGGTTCATGTCAGATACCACTGACGCTGTTATCAGAAACCCCAGGCCAGGTCCCTCTGTTCCCATTTTCACCTCCCGCAAGAAACCAGGACTTGAAACTCTCTAAGAATTCAGATTCTTCTTTTTTTTTTTTTATTTTTTTTTTATTTACGAGGAATGTATATTGGAAGTTGTTATCAAGGGACACATAAAAGCGGAATCACAAACTGGACTGCAGCCAGCATCGTGGCACCCAAGTCTGTGTTCTTGGGCTCTTCCTGATTCTGCTCTTGGAGTCACAACCAAGACTCCAAAAAACCAACAAAGTCCCTTTAACGTGAGTAAAGGAAAAAGCTTTAGGCATTGACAATTTTTACAAGTGATTATTCAAGGAATGCACAGTAGCCACAGTTCAGACAAATCAACTACAAAAATCATTAAAAAGAAAGAGTGGGGAGGGGTGCTGCTTATTTAAAACAAAAGACTGGACAAAAAAGTGAAGGTAACAGTGGGCAGAAGCGCTGCCTCCTCTGTCCTGTGTGACTAAGAGGGGCGAGGGGGTGCGGGGGGTGAGCGACCAGACACGGCTCATGTCCAGCAGACGCGTGGAATTCAGGGATGCCTTGCTCTCTTCCTACGACAGAAACTGAATACTACAGGCTTGCTAGATAAGATCTTGGGGGTGAGTGGGGGTTCTGATCTTGTGGGAGCCTGTGTTCCCAGTTAAAGAAGAGGCAGCTGGCCAGAGCTCTGCTGGAGAATCTAATGCCCAAGACGGACCGGAGGCCAAACGTTCGGAAGACTCAGTCCTTCCAATGCTGAGAACCACAGACCTCTCTGCCCTGGATGTGGATGCCAAGACTGATTTACTGTGCCCCCAGCAGACTCAGAGCCAGGGAGCAGGCCTCTTCCACCCCAGGAGACAAGTGTCATTTCCCTACCAGTTCCTTGGGACGCTTTGGTGTTCCGCAAAGGCATCCTTAGTCTATTTTTAAAACTCGTGTTTTCTTATTTTGGTCAATTTTTGGTCAGAAGTACAGAGGGTATAGAATATAAGCGAAGATGTGAATGTGTCTCTACCATTGGACAGGGGGTGACCTAGTCAGCAGTTTGCAGGGAAATCAACTGAGGGCGCTGGCTCAGCACGTTCCCAGATGGAGGTCTGTCATCTAAGGAGAGAGGCAGGCTCAGGTCCTGACGGTGGCAGAGCCTCGGTAGTCCTCCTGAGTGTGTCTAGCTGACTGTTACCAAGGGACATGTAAACACAGAATCAGAACTGGCCCACACCCATCATGAGGGCACTCAAGTCTATGGGGGAGCTCTTCCGCACTCTGCTCTTGCAGTCATGACCAACACTTTAAAAGCCAACAAAGTCTCTTCAACCTGGGTAAAGGAAATAGCTTCAAGCATTGACAATTTTTACAAGTGACTATTCAAAGAATGCACAAGAGCCAGAGAATCAGACTCCACAGAGAGGCCAACGGCTCTGACCACACAAGTCAAGAGTCAATGTTATGTGGAGGTGTAGACAAAGGATTCCACCTCACAGAGTTTGAAGACAACCTGCCCTTTCACCAACTACTGCTTTCTGTGTCAGCCCTATAAAGATCAGGTCTTCACCCTGCCCACGAACCTACTTCTGAAACCATCTGGAAAAATGAAAGCGCTTGGATAAATGGAAAAGTATGCTTGAATTTTAAATCTGCTTAATTAAAGGTTATCTGTAGCACTTAAGAATCAACATCTATGGCATTCTTTTAAACACTCCTAATTTACATAGGACTTAGTCAAATTCCCTTGGTAACACCGTCATGCGAGAGATTATGCTGGGTGGAACAGTGATGTGAGCCAACATGATTTTTTGCCCTTATTCTCGCTAAGTCATGATTATCTGAGCAGAGATGATTTTATACCCTCTAGGATTTGTCCCAGATTTTTCCTACCAGTTGGCTAGGGTGTACACCCAGCACCGGCAGGGCAAATTCCTAGGAATGCTTTAGGGGAAGAGGCAGCTGGAAGCCTGGCAATATTCTAAGGAATGCCTGTGCTCCCCGGGAAGTGGTCTGTGTCACCCTGCAGGGTGAAACCTCAGCTATTGCCCGGGCAACTCCCTTAAACCAGTCTGGCTGGTTCTAGGCTTCCCTGCTGCCAGGGGAGGGGATGCACTTCGGGAAGCAGCCCTCCTTGCCTTGCCTGCCCTGTGGCTGGCTGAAGTGCAAGATGGGAAGACGGCTGGGCATTACCTGCAGGTTCCAGTCACACTTGCATGCACTGGTAACTGCAGTTTTAAACTCCTCCCCTTGCAAACGTTTCACCAAATCCTTTCAGTTCATCTCTTTACCCTCTGAGGGGTAAACGGAGAAATTCTGATCACAAGGAAAGAATCTCAGAAGAGGAGGGGAAGTAGCGGGAGCTGCGTAATCCACAAATGACATCGTCAGTCCCTGACATGATCCAGAGTTGACTGAAACCGAATCAAGACTACAAGAGGTCAGTGTAGCAAACACAAAGGGAAAGGAGATGGAAAAAAATCAAAAGGAAACTTTTTAAGAGGAAATGGACCGCAGGTGCTCACTGACTATGTCCGTTTTGGGTAGAAAGAAAAGATAACTTGTTAGGTCTCTGCCTCTTCACTTGGGGAAGGAAAGGGGGGCCTGGCCAGACCTTGCCTAGCAATCCCAAAGTAGGATAAATGGGAACCCAAAGTTTTCAGTATCACCAACTATGGCTTAAAAAGAAAAAAAAAAAAAAAAAAAAAATCCCCTGACCATGTGATGAGGAATGCTACGCCTACCTCTCTCTCACCCTAGCGTGACACACCCCGATCCACCTGTCACTGGAGCATACTATACTGGGCAGAGATAAAAGTTCTTTTCCTCCTGGGGTTTGCTAATCCAGTTCCCATAGCCCATATCCTTCAGGCTTTTTTTGAAGTAGTTCTTGGCCATCTCGTAGTCACGGGCAGCTTTCTTGGCCTCACCATAGAGAGTCTCAGTAGATCCCTGCGGTAACGGAAGGAGCAGAGCTTCTTAAACAGAAGAAAAATGTTCTTTTTGGAGACCCGGGATAATTCATTCCGTGGCCTGGAGAAACAAAAGCACGCATTATTCACCCGGGAACCATCAGGTGAGGAGCTCACAGTGGAGAAACCGTGGCCGGGGAGGCGGCGCTCAAGCTCTGAGGCTGCAAAGGTGCGATCACCCTCGCAAGTCAGGGCAGAGGCTTGGCTCTCACGGCTCTCCCGTCTCCTTACCCATCCACGGTGCCTCTGGTGCCGTCCAGGATCTCCAGGTCGTAGCCATCAGCCAGACACCAGTTGACGCTTGTCTCCTTAGTCTTCCCTGACTGCCTTTTGGAATCGTATACGCTGACTCTGCCAACCTAGGAATCCCAGAAGCAATTGGATAAAGATGGAAACTTTTCAGGAATAAGATTCTGAAGCAGGGACAGGACTCAAAGGAAAGAGGAAGTATAGGGTCATGATCTTTCCCCTGTATTTAGGGTTGTGTTTGGCAGAGACTGAGCACACTCTAGACATACTAACTCCACCTCGATTCAGACTGATTCCAGACTAAGAGAAGGGAAGCCCTTGGCATCCAAAAGCAAGAAAGTTTAAGTTCTGGGGACACCAAGCAATGTTGGTGGTGGGCCTCTGCAGGCAAGCTTCCCCTCGGGCTACCACTGTGAGCAACGTTCCCCTTGCCCACAGTGTGCATTTCTGCTCTGTGTACGTGACTGCCTGAAAAGTAGAAAAATGTCAGGGAAAAGAGGGGGTTATAGCACCTTGGGGTGGTTGACAATAAAGGGATGTCGTAGTCCATCCTCAAATGCACTCCCGTCTCTTGACATACGACAGCAAATAGCACGGGTCAGATGCCCTTGGCTGAAAAGGTAACCTGAGTACAAAAAAAGAGAAGCGTATATATTGCGTTTGCACCAAATGCTGTTCAGAGGCAGAGGCATGTGGGGATCTTGGAGGTACAAAGTACAGTACCAAGAAACAGCAACAGCTGCCTTGTTAGGAAGCACATTCTGACTGGGGCTACCCAGGACCTACATGGAGTCATCAGATATTTAAGCAAAATTGATGGAAGTTCCAGGTAAGGCCAAAGACTGTGCAGAGTAAGGAAACTAAGACGCTGCTGTTTTAAGCTGCTGTGTTTTTTTTTTTTTTAAGACAGGGTCTCGCTAGGTCTCCCATGCTGGAGGGCAGTGGCATGATCACAGCTCACTGCAGCCTCACCTTCCTGCGCTCACGCAATCGTCTCATCTCAACTGCCTAAGCAGCTAAGTAGCTGGGACAATAGGCGTGTACCACCATGCCCAGCTAATTAAAAAAAAAAAAACATTTTTTTTTTTTTCCAGATGGGCGTGTCTATGTTACTCAAGCTGGTCTCAAACTCCTGAGCTTAAGCGATCCTCTCGCCTGGCCTCCCAAAGTGCTGGGATGATAGGAACGAGCCACTACATCTACCCCTGCTGTTTCCGTTTTTCCCCCCTTTTTTGGAGAGTCTCACTCTGTTGCCCAGGCTAGACTGCACTGGCACGATCTCAGCTCACTGCAACCTCTGTCTCCCAGGTTCAAGTGATTCACATCCCTCAGCCTCCCTAACAGCTGGGACTATAAGTGTGTGCTACCACACCAGGCTAATTTTTGTATTTTTGGTAGAGGTGGGGTTTCACCTTGTTGGCCAGGCTGGTTTCGAACTCTTGGTCTAAGTGATCTGCCCGCCTCTGACTCTGAAATTGCTGGGATTACAGGCGTGAGCCCACCATGCCCTAATCCTGCTGTTTCTTTAAAAGAAACAGCTGGCCTGGCTGGTCTTTACGGAGGCTTGCTGCCTAAACCCATCTTCCTCCACAGCACACTGGACAATCTATTACTGAGGAGTGAATCACGCTCAGTTTAATAGGGGAGACATAACACCTAGCAACAAAGCATGCAGTTTGCTGGGATTTGGGAACAAGCAGGACAGACCAGTTCCAGATCCCAAGGCAGGCCCCTTACCCAATGTGACAGATTTGAGATAAATGGGCTGCAGGAAGTGGGTCAACAATGCCCCTTGCAGGCCAAGCACGTTCCAGCGTAGGATTTTGTCACTACAGGACATGGTACGGAGTCTCTCCCCAAGCCGAATGCCATCCCACGTAGGCACAATGTCACTGGATTCCACAGGGATTGTGCCTTCTCCTGTGTGAGAGACTTGTGTCAGACCCACAGGGGCCGCTGGACCAAACCACTCCTTGGTGTGGTTTTTATACTCCTTAAGCTTGGGCCACCGGCTCCATTCATTCATTCTTCACATATCTCACAGATCCTGCTCTGCACCAGGCACTATGCTTGGTGGTGGGAAAGAACGGTTAGGAAAATCAAGATCCTTGTCCTCCTAGAACAGGCGTCCCCCAACTGTTTACACAGGGGGCCAGTTCCCTGTCCCTCAGACCGTTGGAGGGCCGCCACATACTGTGCTCCTCTCACTGACCACCAATGCAAGAGGTGCCCCTTCCTGAAGCGTGGCGGGGGGGCCGGATAAATGGCCTCGGGGGGCCGCATGCGGCCCGCGGGCTGTAGTTTGAGGACGCCTGTCGTAGAACATCTATGGTGGTTAAGAGGATCGAAAGGGCGAGAACAGACACTCAGCCAGGAACCAGTACATACGGGAGAATTCCAGACGCTGACAGTGCTCTGAAGGCTTTGAGGGAGCTATGATGGAGGACCGCAGGGGGAACCTCCTGGGACAGAAGCAGCTGGGGAGCCCAGCCATGGTGGAGAAGGACAGCTGGAGAAACGTGTTTCAGGCACACAGGACAAAAGCAAAGGCCTCAAGGCTGCCAGCGGATTGGTTGTTCAGGGGGCTGCAAAGATCCGCATGGCCAGAGCCATTCGCGAGGGAGGGGAAAGTGGCACGAGATGAGGCCGGACGATCACAGCAGCTTCTGCTCGTAAATGAGGGGCAGTGGTAAACCACTACAGGGTTTTTAAAAAAAAAAAAACCACCAGCTTTATTGAGATACAGTGCATATGCCATACAGCTCACCCATTTAAAGCATACAGTTCAGTGGTTTTTAGTATGTTCACAGAGTTCTGCAACTGTCATCACAGTCCATTTTAGAACATTTCACCACTCCAAAAAGAAACCTATCCATTGGCGCAGCCACTCCTCATCTCTCCAACCCTCCGCCCCCGGCCCTGGCAACCACTCACCTACTTTCTGTCTCTATGGATTTGTCTATTCTGGACGTTTCATATAAATGGAATCACACAATATGTGATCTTTTGTGACTGGCTTTTTTCTTTTGGCATCAACTTTTCAAGTACATCCATATTGTAAGCATGTATCAGCACTTCATTTCTTTTTTTTTTTTTTCTCTTCCCTGACAGGATCTGCTTGGAAGTACTTCATTTCTTTTTATGGCCAAGTAATACTCAATTTATAGATATATTTGATGTTTTATTTATGAATCCATCAGCTGATGGACATCTGGGTTTTTTCCACTTTTTATGGCTATTGTGAGTAACGCTGCCATCAACATTCACTTCTTAGTTTCTATGTGGACACGGATTTCCGTCTCTCTCCAGCATATACTGGGAGTGGAGCATTGGCTCCATGGTAACTGTGTCTACACTATAGGGTATTTAACTGGGTTTCAGGACCACAGTGATGACTGCTGAAGTGTGGCCTGAAGGGAACAGAGTGGATGTGAGGAGACAGTACGGGGACAGGAGAGGATATGAGAGGAGTCGTCAGTGGACAAGGCACAGTCAGCCGGCAGCTAGACAGGAGGGGACCCAGGCACCTGGCACCCCTGTCTGTCAATTCCTCAGGACTTGGCTGTGCTGCACTCTTCATTTCCTCCACCCTCTCTCAAGGTGATCCTACGCATTCCTACGGCCGTGAACACCCTTCAGGGGGATGACTCCCGTACTTTTATTTTCAGCCAAGCTCTCTCCTCTGAGCTGCACATGGGAACCTCCACCTCCCATCTGACTTGGGGATGAACACGTTCAAATGAACCTTGATCTTCCCGTACATCTCCCCCAAATGATCACATTCAAAATGGAACCTTCATCTTCCCACATGCCTGCCCCACCCAGGTCTTCCCTCTCCTGCAAACAGCACCTCTGCGTCCAGTGACGAGTGGTAAAATCCCAGCAGCCTCGCAGAGATGTGAGAGCCCAGGGCCTTGCAGAGCGTTCTGTGGGAAGTAGGGGGCGGGGGGGGGGGGCGCGTATCACTCACCGTTCTCCACCTTGGTGCGGAGCTTGCCTTGTTTGGGATTCTCAAAGACAGGGTAGTGGCGGGAGTCTGTGTTTTCCATAGCACGGTCGCTGCAGGACTTGTCAAAGAGGGCTCCGTCTCCACACGGAGCGGTGCTGCAAAACAGGGGTGGCTGTTAAAACCTGCCTGCGGGAAATCTGCAATTTCATGGGGCTCCAGAACAGTCAGATGTGACAGAAGCAAGGGATGTTTTCTAAGGCCTACCACAGGAGACTGGAGGCAGACAGCAGCTCACGAGAGTCATTCTACACCTGGGCATGGACCTCAAACCCAGCGTGGAGTGGGGTTTTGTATGAGGTCCTATTTATAGGCCAGGAAAGCATTCAGACACCCAATTCTAACAGTCCGGTAGGGCCCACCCTGGCAGCAACAGAAACCGTACAGACCTGATATAGAGATGGAATGACACAGTCTTTTTGATTTGGAGCTTTTCTCCTCCCCTAGCGGGCTCAAATATACTGTCCTTCGCGGTTTGGGGGTTGTATTTCATTAACTCACTGTAGAGAAACCTGCAAACACAAAGTCTGGTTAGGAAGGCGGGTTCAATTCTGGGAAAAGCAGTTGCTTCTATAATCGGACCTCCAGATGAGGAAGTAAGGAGAAGCCTCCACGCTGCAGACCTTTCACAGTCTCCCAGGTGGGAATTCTCCAGGGGAGACCCCACCATTTCATAAAGCAGAGTTAGCCTTCTGGGTCTCCTTCACTTCTGCGGAGGGCTCCCCGCTATGGCAGTTACGGGGATTCCAGGGCAGGGTCAATGGATTCAAGGACTACAAGGAAGCTTATTGCTCCTTTCCAAGTCTCTCCCTTCATAAACTAAAGAAAAGGTGAGCTGGAGGAGAGAGCTGGCAGGGCCAGCAGGGCTGTACAGGTCCTCAAACGGAAATGGAAAGCTGCCTCGGATGAGGCAAGGCTCTGAGGACTAAAAGGTCATTTTGTGTTTTTAGAAAAGGACATGAAGCAGCAGAGTTAGCAGAGAAACGAGGACAGCACTTAAAACCAGGCTGAGTAGTGGGAGGCCGCTCGGGTCACAGAGGGGGTGGATTCCGCGAGACAGGTTCAAACAGACGGGTAAGAAGCAAGGCTGCCACTGACCCATCACGACCTGTCTGTTTGATGGGGAGTCAGAGAGCTCACTTCGGAGCCAGATGGGGCAGAGAACTGGAGCTCTTCGCAGCCAGGCAACCCGTCCCATAGCTCTGACCTCGCTCACCTGATGAAGCCTCTCCGGGAGATGATTTCTGCATGACAGTCATTGACAGTTTCTCCCTTTAGGCTGAGAGAATCTCCTTTCACACAGCGATTCCCTAGGAAGGCGTTTAAAACACAAATGGAGTAACGGAAGGAAACTGATGGCGAACAGGGTGAAGGCTGTTTGTCCTGAAAACTTCACGGCAGTAACAGCCTCAACGTCTCCGATCCTTGCCTCCCATATTCTCTCCTGTGGGAACTAAGAACTCACTCCTCACCCTGAATTGACTGTAGCTAAAACGAAGTCTCTTCTCTCTGCCTTGGACTTGCACACAGGGACTCCAGGAGAGGATGAGAGGGACCTGATTTCAGGCACACGGGAGGCAGCATGTCTCAGAGCCCCACTCACCTGTTCCCAAGCTGACAACCACACCCATGTCCTCAGAGTCCTTCTTCATAACGATGGCGGCCAGAATCTTGCGGCCGAGCAAGGAGGGCTGGAAGCTGTTAGTGAGCGTGTTGAAGCACCGGTGGCTCAGCATGGCTATCTGGTCGTGGAAGGTGCTGCCAGTGAGAGGGAGCTGTGGGGACAGGAGGCTGTGTCAGCACCACGAAGCTGAGGCCGTGTCCACCGTTTTCACCATGGGCAGGGAGATGAAGCTCTCCTCGTCTGTCGTGTGAGTCTTTTCCTTCTCACATCTAGCATCCCAGTTACACGCTCTCTCGAGGCTAAGAGTAAGGCCTAGGAATAACTCGCATGACAGAAAGAGCCACCTCCACTTAAGAGAGGAGTTAGGAGGACCCCCCCCCCGCCCGCCCCCCACAGAAAAAGGCACCAAAAGTAGACGTCTTAACTGTCTTTGGCTGTGCTTCTGGGGACCTTGAGAGGAGGAGCATAGTTCTTCTGAGAGTGGCCCCTGTCACTGGGGTTACCTCTGTGAAACCCATGCGTTCTGCCTTCTCATTCTCCCCAATCAAGACACGGAGAGCTGCATCTGCTGCTTCCTGCTTGCCTTGCTTCTTGCTGTGTGCGCAGACGGCTGGGAACCAGCGACCCCCAACTTTTGCTTGGTAAACGAACCTTTGGGATTAGAAGCAGAGAATGAAGAGCAGCACCAGAACTGACAGTTGTTCCAAGGAAGGGCTAGTTTTGTTGAAAATGTGGCCAGTCTTGCAAACACATGGACCCATCAAACAAAAGCTGTTTCTAAGGCAGCATTTCCTAGATTTTGGTCATTCATGAATCACCACGTGACTTGTGCCAGATCAAGGTAACACTTGGACTATTAATATTTATCTGTAAATTGCCTTCTTAGAGCCAGCTACTATGGCTCACCCCTGTAATCCCAGCAACTCGAGGAGCTAAGGTGGGAGATCACTTGAGGCCAGGAGTTTAAGACCAGCCTGGGCAACATAGTAACCCCCCAGGCAAGACAGTGAGACCCCCATCTCTCTCTAAAAGAAAAAAAATTAGCTGGGCATGTGGTGTATGGCTGTAGTCTCAGCTACTTGGGAGGCTGAGGTGGGAGGATCACTTGAGTCCTGGAGGTTGAGGCTGCAGTGAGCTATGATCATGTCACTGCATTCCGGCCTGGGTGAGAGAATGAGATCCCCATCTCTAAAATAAATAAATAAACAAACAGACTTCTTAAAAGATGTAAATATCTGTAGTACTAGGTATGAAAAAACAGATAAAAATGTAAACACATGAAATAGGAAACTTTGTATCACTACTGTAAATGGAAAACCAGTAACACTTGCCATGTATTGAAGGTGGCTGTAAAACAGAATATGATAAAATCATGTTATAAAATTCTGACTAGACACTGTTACCTGCAAAGGCTCTGAGCCTGTCCTTATTATAAAGGAAGATTACGACATATTAGGAAGGCTTAATGAAATGCTAGCACCAACTTGAACTCTCTTCTTAAGCAGAAATGAGAAGGAACGACCTTTCTCCCCAGGTGAGTTACTATTACTTCATACACTGATTTTTCAAGTGCCCAACTCCATTCCCTCATTTACTTCCTGAGGACTTGACCTGGAGAGGTCATTATGTCAAGGTCGGCCTTACGCCAGGGCCTCAAGCTTTTTTGGGAGTTGTTTTTCAACTCCTGGCAGGCTTGAGCTGGCTGTGGGGTAAGGAATGGATCTTGGGCTCATGAGCTCTGCTGACAATACAAGTGCCCAAGTCGGGTAGGGAGGTGGCCCCTACTGCTCCTGGCTGGGCACTTCCACAAACACAGAGGGAGAGCACAGTGGAGTAAAACAGCCTGGAAATGTACCAGACAAGGCATCAAAAATCCTAGCTTTCAACCAGATCCTCATCTACTGGCTGAGAACCCAGCTTTGGATACTCCAACTGCATACAACAGGGAAGGCGTCCCCAAACTTTTTACACAGGGGGCCAGTTCACTGTCCCTCAGACCGTTGGAGGGCCGCCACATACTGTGCTCCTCCCACTGACCACCAATGAAAGAGGTGTCCCTTCCTTAAGTGTGGCAGGGGGCCAGATAAATGGCCTCAGGGGGCCGCATGCGGCCCGCGGGCCATAGTTTGGGGACGCCTGCAACAGAGGCTTCAGTTATCAAGACTTAGCAGCTCAGGCAGTAAAAGGAATCAACGTTTTGTTCAGCCACGTGGAGTTTCTCCTTGTTCCTTGGTTATCTGAAGCAACCGAATGCCTTTACTCCTTTCTTTGCCCATGCTGACTGGCTCGTGCAGGCCAGTGGGCTTAAGTTCAGAATGAGAGGAACAGTGGCATGAAGAAGATGGTGAAGGGGGTCAGGGACAGACTGTGCAGGATCTTTACCTCAGGGATCCACGAGAATTTCATGACTGCCCTATGTGTTTGAAAAGAATATGAACTCCATGTGCCAAGTTTTATACTGGTATATTTACATACATGATAAAGTTTGTTAATTATGCAGCTAGAATCCTTTAGAGCTGTGCCATCCAATATGGTGGCCACAAGCCCCATGGGGCTATTCAATTTAAATTACTTACAATTAAATACGATGAATAATTCAGTACCTCAGCGCACTAGCCACGGTTCAAGCGCTCAATAACCACACATGGCTAGTGGCTGGCCTTTTTAGTGAAATGAGTTGAAGTGAAGACAGCGAGCGTGAAAAACTGGTTTGAGAAGTTTGGCTGTAAGAGAAGCAAAGAAATGAGGTGGCACCTGCAGGGAAATAGGGGGTGGAGGGAGGGTTTTTAAAAGATGGTCACGGGCATGTTTCACGGCTGGTGGGAATAATCTGAGAGGGAGCAGCGGCAGGGGAGCAATGGGGAGACCAGAGCAGCCGAGTCTTAGAGCAGATGAGAGGGATGGGATCCAGGACACAGGGACGGGAGGCGTGACGCTCCTTCACTCTTGCTGGTAGGTAGGGAGCTGGTTTGGTAATGGGAAGATAAGGTATTTCTTATATGCTTATTGCTATTTTTTCAACAAAGTGTGAAGTAAGGTCATCAGTTTATAAAGTGAGGAACAGGGGTATTGGTGGAAATCTGAAGAAAGAGGCAAAAGTCTGAATGGTTCTCTCAGCAATGGAAAGAAAATTAAGAAAAAAACTGCTGGGAAAGGGGCCAGAGTGTGGGGAGAGGGCAAGTCACAGTCCTTCAGTGAAACCTTCGATGGCTCTCTACTGCTCTTGTGGTAGCACTAACGTGACTAACAAGGGAGACCCTGGTGGCCTCCCCGATCACACCTCTAATCTCCTCTGGTGCCAGCCTTCCCTCGTGCCCTCCGCTCCACCCCTTTGCCAGCTCTGCTCTTCTTCCATCACAGGACTTAAACAGGGTCCTTTGCCTAGAACGCTTGGTCGTTCTCTCTTCATCATCCTTAAAGTCTCAGCTCAGGCAGCACTTCTAGGGGAAGCTCAGTCAAGTTGTGCTATAATTGAGTCTCACTGCAACTCGAGCCCTTCAGAATCCTTATCAAACATGAGAGCTTACATTTCTATAGGAGACTATTGGTTAATGTTTGGCTCCTGTTCTAAAAAATAGAAGATACTCCGTAAGTTAAGTGTCGAGTGAATAAAGAAGAAAGATCGCTACTGTGATGGTCTAGATGAGACAGTGGCGTGGACTAGCGTGCTGACGCTGGAGGTGGAAAGAGGAGGAAGGGATTTGGGATAGAAATTCTAAGTATAACCAACAGGACTGAAGGATGGGTTGACAAAGGAGGTAAAGGAGATAAAGGAAAAGATGATCCTCAGGTTTTTGACTTGAGCAACTGGGGAGACAGTGATATCACTTACTGAGATGGGAAAGACGGGGGGGAAATGAGGGGAAGGGGGCAAAGCCCAAGAGTTCTGCTTTGCACATGTCATACCAGGGATGTTCATCCAAACAGAAGTGACAAGCAAGCAACTAGACAGAGGAATCTGGAGCTCTCAGTGGTCTCCAGCATCTAGATATTAAAAGTCATGGCTGGGTGTGATGGCTCATGCCTATAATCCCAGCACTTTGGGAGGCTGAGGTGAGTGGATCACCTGAGGTCAGGAGTTCAAGACTGGCCTGGCCAACATGGGGAAACCCCGTCTCTACTAAAAACAAAAAAATTTAGCCAGACGTGGTGGCAGATGCCTGTAATCCCAGCTACTCGGGAGGCTGAGGCAAGAGAATCACTTGAACCTAGGAGGTGGAGGTTGCAGTGAGCCGAGATCGCACCATTGTACTCCAGCCTGGGCGACAGAGCGAGACTGTCTCAAAAAAAAAAAAAAAAAAAAAAAAAAGAGGCATAAGATTAGTTAAGGTCACCAAGAAGAGCAGAGAGAAAGGAACAAAAGACCCAGCATCATTCACAGTAAGAAGTAACTAGAGCATGTTACTGTATGAGATAGTTAATAAACAGTTACCCAATTACCATCTCCCCTCTCTAGGCGACCTGCCTCGACTCTCCAGCAGACACTGGAAGCAGTGTCCTGTCCCCACAGCACTATGCATTCACCTCCAATGGCACGTTCCAACACTGCTATGGCTATATGTCTGCTGCACACTTAGGGGCAGCAACTTTTCATATCTTCAATCTAGTTCACAGTAAGTTCTTACATTCTGAATGAATGGCTGACATGAAGTCCTGGAAAGGATTTCATAGAGGATTTCACGAAGAGAAAGAGGAGAGGAGCGGAATCTGTCATCTGAAGGACTGTGCTTAAAGATAAGGAGGTGCTTATTAGAGACTGAAGGCTATGAAGCAGTAGAAGTGTAGCTGGAGAGAGACAGCGCCTCTCCTTTTCCAGATGGCTTAAACAGTGGGGAGATGCCTGTTCTAAACTGGGTCGGGTTGGTCAAAGGGCTACTTTAAAAAATTACATTAAAGGTTCTCACATATCGATAAAAAGTAATAACCTGAAAGAAAAATGGAAAAGGACAAGAACAGGTGGTTCACAGAAAAGAAAATGCAAATAACATAAACATGAATAAATGAATGACATTACTTCTATATATATACATACATATTTATTTATTTGAGATAAAGTCTCATTCCATCACCCAGGCTGGAGCACAGTGGCACAATCTTTACTCACTGTAACCTCCGCCTCTTGGGTTCAAGCAATTCTCCTGCCTCAGTCTCCTGAGTAGCTGGGATTACAGGCACGTATCACCACGCCCAGCTATTTTTTGTATTTTTAGTAGAGATGGGGTTTCACCACGTTGGCCAGGCTGGTCTCGAACTCCTGACCTTGGCCTCCCAAAGTGCTGGGATTATAGGCATGAGCCAGTGTGTCCAGCGGACATTACTTCTATTAAAAAGAGAAATTTAAAATAACAAGATACTATTTTTATGAGCTTTTTTCCTTAAAGACTTTAAAACGGAAAAGTTGGATGTCAAACGTGAAATTCAAACAGTTAAGCGTGTACAATAAAAGCGTCCCTCCTTCCCCAGAAGCAAACACAGTTGCCAGTTTTTTCAATCCTTCAAGAAAATTTTCTAGTCATACACACACAATCTTCATCTCTCCCCTCACTTTACACCTTGCTTTTCCACTTTGCGATAGACTTTAGAGGTCAAGAAGAAAACATGCCTGTTGCGTGGCAAGAGTGATGCCATCTGGATGCAAGACCACTAATATTTGACTCCTGCGTCCCAATGTGCTGGGTAGCATAAGTAACTCCATGCAAAGATGTCTACCAAATCTCCCCAGCAGTTGTAAGTTTCACAAGAAAGTATAAGGGGTGACCAGCTGCGTGTTTAACCAAAAAAGCCCTCCACAGAAAGCATACTTTCTGGAGGGTAAGTGCAATGATCCGCCGTCTTGCAGCCACCCAAGACATCATTTCTGTTCATCCCTATTAAATGTTTCTTTCTGAGAAACTGAATTTGTCAGCTTCTATTCAATGAAATAGGTAGCTATGCAAGGAGTCTGGTAAGTGAAGGAGTCAACGTATAAAATAGAAAATATATGTACATATCTATGTATTTATTTTTGTTTAAAGAGACAAAAGGAAAAATGTGCTAGTTATGCATAGCAAATTTCTAGAAAGGACTCAAACTGGTATATTCATGTGCTGCAAGACAATGTTTTGTTCAATGACAAATCACATAAGACTATGATAGAGCTGAAAAATTCTTAGCACCCAGTGCAGGGATCCGTAACCTGTTAGGAACCCAGCCGCACAGCAGGAGGTGAGTGATGGGCAAGCAAGCATTCTGGTCTGAGCTCCACCTCCTGTCAGATTAGCAGTGGCGTGAGATTCTCCAAGGAGTGTGAATCCTGCTATATGAACTGTGCATGCGAGGGATCTTGGTTGCCCACTCCTTATATATTTACTGTATTTTTATCATTATTTCAGAGTATACTTCTACTTTTTTTTTTTGAGGCAGAGTCTCACTCTGTAGCCCAGGCTGGAATGTAGTGGTGCGGTATCAGCTCACAGCAACCTTTGCCTCCTGGGTTCAAGCGAGTCTCCTGCCTCGGCCTCCCGAGTAGCTGGAACTATGGGCGTGTGCCACCATGCCCGGCTACTTTTTGTATTTTAAATAGAGACGAGGTTTCACCATGTTGGTCAGGACGGTCTTTATCTCCTGACCTCGTGATCGGCCTGCCTTGGCCTCCCAAAGTGCTGGGATTACAGGCATGAGCCACTGAGCCCAGCTTCTTCTACTTCTAGAAAAACAAGTTAACTAATAAAAGCCTCAGGCAGGTATTCCAGAAAGCACTGTTACTGTAGGAGATGATGGTCCCGTGCATGTTAGTCCCCCTGAACGCCTTCCGGTGGGACAACCCATGGAGGCGGCAGACAGTGATATGGAGGAGCCTGACCCTGTGTAGGCTCAGGCTAATGGTTAATGTATCTTCACTTTAGCTTTTAAGAAAAAAGTTTAAAAAGTAAAAAAATAAAATTTTTTTAAAAACAGAAAAAAGCCTATAGAATAAGGATAGGAAGAAGGGAAATATTTTTGGATAGCACAACCACATGTTTGTGTTTTACACTATTATTACAAAAGAAACAGAAATTTAAAAATTTAAGTCTATAAAGTAAAAAAGTTACAGTAAATGAAGATTAATTTACTAAAGAAAAACATTTGGAATAAATGTCGTTAGCCTAAGTGAACAGTGCGTCTGAAGCCGACAGGAGGCACAGTCATGTCCGAGGCCCCCACGTGCACCCTCCACTCACTCGCTGACCCACCCACAGCCACTCCAGTCCCGCAGGCTCCACTCATGGCAGGCGCCCTATACAGAGGCAGCATTTTGTGTGTTTTATGCTGTCTTTTTACTGTATCTTTTCTTTGTTTAGATAGAGACACCAATACTTGCCAGTGTGTTGTAGCTGCTCACAGTATTCACTACAGTTACACGCAGCATAGGTTTGTAGCCTAGGCGCAACAGGCCATCCCATACAGCCTGTACGTGTGTGGGAGCCCATACCATCCAGGTTTATGTAAATACACTCTGATGTTCTCACGGCAACAAAACCATGTTTCTCAGACCGAATCCCAGTTGTTAGCTAACGCGTGACTTTAGTAGTATATGGGTCTGGGGAGGTGAACTAGAAGTCTGAGACAGAAATGAGACTTTTCATTGAAATGACTACTTTCTCAATCAGCTTGAATGTTGTTGTTTTTTTTTTTTCCCTTTGAGACAGAGTCTCACTCTGTTGCCCTGGCTGGAGTGTAGTGGGACAATCTCGGCTCACTGCAACCTCTACCTCCCGGGTTCAAGTAATTCTCCTGTCTCCGCCTCCCAAGTAGCTGGGATTACAGGTGCCCACCACCACACCCAGCTAATTTTGCTATTTTTAGTAGAGATGGGGTTTCCCCATTTTGGTCAGGCTGGTCTCGAACTCCTGACCTCAGGTGAACTACCCACTTCAGCCTCCCAAAGGGCTGGGATTACAGGTATGAGCCACCGCACCCGGCCTGAATGATTTTTTAATGCACATGTGTATTCCTTTAAAAATTAAAACTAGTCAAAAAATGCAAAAGAATCATGCTTAATGGGAGGGTGACTGCATCCACTCTTGGCAGGTCTGTTGTCGTCTAAGAGGCTGTGGAGACAGGGCTGGACTTGCTTCCCTCAACTCCCCGCTTCTGTCCTACACAGCTAAAGAGCAGCCTTGTTCTCCCTGGATTACAGGCCACCCCCGTCTGGTGACATCTATATTAGCCGGGACTAGGACACTCACTTGGGCTCGTGAGGAGGTCCGGACTGGTCGACCAACTTGAATTCGGCAGCGAAGCCATGGGAGCGAGCGTACTCCAAAAGGCCACCCACAGGGTTGGTGTTCAAGTATCTCACGAGCTCGCCAATCCTCCTGACCTTATTGGGCATCATCGATTCCAAGTTATCAAGTGACTCTGAGATTGTACCTTCGGGCTAAAGGAGAATCCGTCAAATAAAGAGGAACCGTAAACACTTCAGGAAACGCTGAGGGACTCACTGGCAATCTTAAACCCCTCAGTTGCTAAAACCACCTGCAACTTTTGAGTAGGACAGTGCCCCACCTGGTCATCAGAAAGCATGGAGTTGGTCGCCTCCCCATGCAGGGCCTTCATGGCTTCCTCTGCGGCCATCTGCTTTGCCACCTTCTTGCTGGGGGCACTCACACTGGGGAAAGTCTGGGCTCCCACTTGAACACAGTATTCAAACCTGGCAGAGATGAAGTAAGAAGGATTAATGTGGGCTTGACAGGGGAGCCTGACACAGCCTTTGCCAGCCTGCCACCCTCCACTACTAGTAATTTCCTTGAACACATCTCCTCTGTACAATCACATCTCAGGCGGTCACTTCTGCCTTCCACAGCCACTGTCTCTTAGCCTGGCTGACCCCTTTCAACATTTAAGCCGCAACCTAGTTTCACCTCCTCCAGGTACGCTTCTGATGAATATGTAAGTCTACAGACCCACAGGCAGAGAGCTGCTCGGGTCCTACGCCCTTCAGTCCCACCAACAGTGAGTGACCTCCTTAGTGCTTGTAGAGGAGACAGAGGGTGGGCCAGGAATCCCCTTTGAATTCCTAATCCCCAATTCTCTGTCTCACAGGCAGCCACCAGGCCCTCGAGCCCTCCTTTCCCCATTTTGAAGCAGGAAAAACTGCTCACTCTGCCGTCCCTGAGGAAGGAAGGAGGAAAATGTGTCTCCTATTCTTTTTGGGAAAACCTCTGTGGGACACAGGAAGTGGGGGGCGTACTTGGGCTCATGGGCAGGGCCTTCTTTGGACAGGAGCCGGAATTCACAGGAGTTCCCCAGTTTGTGCATGCACTCAAGCAGTGTGGTGACGGGGCTCTTCCCGGAAAAGAAGGGTGTGGCTGAAGGGGTGGAGGGCTGGGACTCTGCGGTCTAGAGAAAACGAGAGACAAGAAGAAAACAAAACTAAGAAAACACTGGTTAGGCCATCACAGAAGAGGGGATGGGGATGGGGGACTTTCTTCCCGCCAACTAACTGTCAAGGGATTGGCTTTCCAAAGGGAAAGGGGCTGCTGGGGCTCTCATTCGGCATCTTCCGAGAGAGGAGACTGGTCTCAATAATCTTGCAGGTCGCTTTCAACTCTGAAATTCCGTAAATCCAATCATGCTGGGACAGCGGCGGACAGAGGAGCTGGGTATGAGAGGAGGAAAGGCAGACTGGCGAGGTAGGGAAGAGGGAGGCGCGGGAAGCTGACGCCGGGGAAGTATCAGCTGTTTAGGCTGGGGTTGCTTCGGGGGAGTCAGTTATACTCCTGATATTCACAGACATTGACAGTGAGCCGATACCCTCCCAGACGCCAGGAGGACACCGACCTTCTCTGACTCTTTCTCTGTAGAATAGTGGGATGATTCTTCTGGTTTTCCACTGTCCTTGGCTTTGGCTTCCTCTAGCAGAATTGTCATGGCTTTCATAGCTGCATCCTGCTTGGCCACTTTCTTGCTTCCAGCTTCAGCTGGGGGAAACTCTCGGCCATTGATGACAACCTGGAATTTAAATCTTGACGGAAAGCGATTAGATGTGTGAACAGGTCATTCCTTCTGCCTTCTCCAAAGAGACCTTCAACCCGGAATTTTCTGCTACGCTAAGGGGCTTTTGACTTGTTTGGGGGATGAAGGGTAGTCCAAGGAACTCCTACTCCTTTGAAGGTTCAACCTGTCCTTTCTTTTTGTAAACAAAGCAGCCAATGACTCTTTCCCCATAGCTCAGTGAAGCAAACACAGGCACAGATGACACGAAACTAGCTCAAGGGAAACCCGCTATCTCTTAACAATGAATTCTCTCTCTCTTACACACACACACACACACACACACACACACACACACACACACGATGAGCCAAAAATCGCCATTACAGCCTTGCTGAACAACCAAAAGACCTTCATTCTAAAGCAACTGTGGTAGACTGGCCTCCTCAAGGGAGGGTCTTAAAAGATAGTGAAGGTTTCTTACAACCTAGGCTCACACTCCCCAGTACCTGCAGGGGATCAGGCATCTGCCACTTATCAATGGCCCGCTTTTGTCACTAGACATGTATCACTATAGTTTGTTATAAGTCACTCTATAGCTCCATTTGTCTCAAGCCTGAGATGAAAGCAATTACCCTTTGTTACGAAGAAAATAAAAAGCATTTGTTCTAGGCCTCTGGACTTAGCCTAGACCCCGCTTTGTTCAAGCTTTCAAATGTGGTCAGCTCTTTGCTCAGTCTAAGACTTCATTTGGGAAGTAGGTCAAATTTCTTATTTCCTAGGTCTTCCGAAATATTTGAACATGGCGCCAATGTTTCTTACAGCACTGAGTGCAAAGAATGATTAACCACAAAATCCACTGCTTTCCTCCAACTCTGGGGAGGGACAGAGACAAAAGAGAACGACAGCCATCCAGTCTCTACTCCAAACAAATGATCCAGCTCTGGCCTTGCCAGCTTTTGGACAGATACCTTTTCTTAACAGCTCTCCTGAAATGCCAATGTGGTGACATGAAGACACTCAAGACAAAGAATGAGGGCCCTAGCCAGGAATCTACACCCCTAGAACCAGGCGAGGTGAACATAAAGGTCAGTGGAATTCTCCCCCAACCCACTGGCTCTCTCCTTGGCTGCACCTGCAGCCACTCGGCTCCAGTGGTTTTGGTCTCTGCTATGCTCTTCAGCAGCTCCTGTTTTCTTTATCTGCCTACTGGCCCATTAGGACCCTAAGTGCAGGGCCTGGCCAGCTATCTGAGTGAGGTAATCGCTGACTTCACAGCTCAGGAGCAGCAGCAAGTGCTGGCCCACCCATCTGTGCAGAGGAGGTATATAAAATTAGAACCACCACCTTCACTAGGCAGCCAGGCAGCCGTGCACACGCTCCTCCATCCTTCCCCCAAGGAGCTGTGCAGAGGAGGGACTGTGGACCTGCGCTGCTTAGCAGCACAACCCACCCCACTCTGTGTGTGCAGCCTGCCCCAACCCACCTGCTCCTGCACCTCTCTCAGAAACAGCTTGGGAAGGAGGGGAAGGCCCGCAGAAGGGAGTTAAATCTTCATTACTTCTGGCCTTAGGAAGCAAGCATGGCATTGATGGATGAAGACCAATCATTTTTCTTTTTCTTTTCTTTGAGATGGAGTCTCGCTCTGTTGCCCAGGCTGGAGTGCAGTGGCGTGATCTCAGCTCACTACAACCTCCACCTCCTGGATTCAAGCGATTCTCCTGCCTCAGTCTACCAAGTAGCTGGGATTACAGGCACACACCACCATGCCTGGCTAATTTTTGTATTTTAGTAGAGATGAGGGTTTCCCCATGTTTGGCCAGACTGGTCTTGAACTCCAGACCTCATGAGCTTCCCGCCTTGGCCTCCCGAAGTGCTGGGATTACAGGCATGAGCCACCACACCTAGCCCCCAAGACCAATCATTTCTAAAGAAGCTTCATTACAGCCAACAGAGTCAACCCCTTGTTCAGCCAAGATTCTGGCTGGTCCAAAGTCTATATTCCCTGCTCAACAGCTGGAGAAAGGGCCAAACAAGGATTTAGCTACAAGGCAGAAGGGAAGGAGGAAGACACAGGCCACCAAACAGCCCCACTCACAGATCAGCCAACACTGTGTCAGGAGCAAGAGCATCTGAACCCAACCGTAGGTACAGTTCCTGGGTGGTCTCTTACCGAGGTTCATGGGGTGGTCCACTCTGCTCTATCAGGTTGAACTCACAGGTTTGACTAGCGAACTGAGCATATTCTAACAGCCCACTGATGGGGTTCTTCAGCTGGCACTCTGTCAGTTTCTTGTAGGGTGAACACCGTGGCAAGCCATGACTGTAGAAGGAGGGCATCTCCATGATGGCTCGAAACTCACCTGGTGCTGCGCGGATACTATTCAAGTCATCTGGGATGTCATCTGTGGCCCACTGGCCATTTTCAAAGTCAACATACCCTGCTCTTGAGGGGCCATTGTTATGAACAGGTGGTTTCAGTCTTACTGGTTCTGGTCTGGTCTCTTGCCTGTTTTCTAACTTTATGACAGGTTCCTGCCCATTCTCCACTTTTTCTGTGGTTACCATGTTATTTGAGGCATTTGATATGGGTAAATTACAGGTGGGGAACTCTGCATTTCTTTTAATCTCAGGGATTGCAGATGGAGCTGTTTCAGGAAGACTGTTCACATTTCTCTTAATTTGCATCCTCTCTCGCTTCTTGTCTGACAAATGCCATAGGGGAGGGGTTGTCCCTTCTCTACAGACATCCCCCTGCCTTTCCAAGTCAATCAGCACAGCATTTATATCTCGGGCCTTGGAAAGGCCAATATTTTTAGCCAAATTCAGGGCAGAGGAGTCAGACACATTGAAGAGATAGTCACAGATTTTCTCCTTGATCTCAGCCATGTCAAAAAGCTCAAGAGGATCTTCTAAGGCAGACGTGGAGTTTCTGTCTTCGGTTTCTAAACTCGGATCTGAGTTTGGGGCTCCTTGGCTATGACCGTCTGGTCTCACCGCTCCGCTGTGCTGGTTCCAAGCCTGAGCTGAGACTGTGATAAAAGGCTCAGTAGTATCTTCTGAGACAGACGTGGAGTTTCTGTCTTCAGGTTCCAAACTCAGGTCTGAGTTGGAGGCTCCTTGGCTATGACAATCTGGTCTCACTGCTCTGTTGTGCTGGTTCCGAGCCTGAGCTGAGGCTGAGATGCTCCACAAAGGGGGTGTTCCTGCCTCCTTCTGTAGCTTGCCCCTCTTTGCCAGGGAGTATAAAACTCGATTGATTTCCTTCTTTGGGGCCCTAAGTTTCGCAGACAGATCATGTGCTGTGGTGGCCTTCCCTTCTCCAAGCTCTTCCAAGAGCTTTAAGATCCTTTGTTCCTGATCCTGGTTGATACTCAGTTCCTGGAAATGTGAGGAAAGGCAATCAACACCTCTCTGTGACAGAATCCTACCACGTGGTGAAGGATGCTGGAATGCTCTTTGGAGCCCCTGACTTCCGAAATGCACGCTCCTGGGGACACCCCAGATCTCCACTCGCCTGAATCCGGTACTGGAGACAGGCGGTGCTGGAAACCTTGGCCGGAGTCCTGGGAGGGAAGGTGGCAGTGACCGTGTCTGCTTTCCAATCACTGGTGCTTCCGGGAGCTGGCCCTTGAGAAACTCTATTTGCTTACGTAGGAAACTGTTGGGGGAAGATCCCAGCCCAGGCTGCTGGTGTCTGACCTTTCTGTGCTCATAGCCTTGAAATGGATGGGGGTAGTATCCGCTGAGGGAATGCCCCTGCAGAGTAAGACAGTGGAAAAGAAAATGAATTAGGCTGAATGGTGAACCTGTGGAGGCCCCTCCCCTTGCTGCCTGTGGAATAGCCCTTAATGGGCTGAGAAGGTGATTGAGCCATGGGCTTATGACCCTGCGAGGGTGACTTGCCCACTTCGTAAATCCTGCCTAGGGGCCTGACAACGGGAACACAGAGAGGGGAGCAGGAGGCAAAGCACACAGAGCTTCCAGGAGCACAGAGGTTCTGAGGCCTCAGCACAGCCTCTCCAGCAACCTAACTTATGTTTCCCTTTGACAGAATTTAAAGGAGTTCAGAAGGAAATTTTCTAGTTACCAAAACAATTACCCCTTTAAAACTAGAACAACAAATAAGTGTTATTTTGTTTTGAAAACAAAAACAGAACAATAACCTGAAACAGTAATGTGCTTCAACAACAAGGTCGTTTCAGCAGCCTGAAACAAAAACAGAACAACTGAAATAACAATAACCGAGGGAGAGGGGACTAGGGAGGGACGAGCTGACCTCTCCTTGAGTCAGGCTCACAGTGCACAGCCAGTGCACCCCTGCCTACCCGTCTCTAAGACCTAGATTTGGATGCCTATGACAAAAGAAGAAAGATGACTGGGTGAAACTGAACCCCAGTCCTCCGAGGCTGTCACAGCCCCGTAACAAAAACCATCTCCAGGTGGGAAAAGGCCACGGGACCTCAGAGTCATCTGCTCGCTGCTGCCGTCCCAGGAGGATCAGAATTTGGTTTTCAGGAAGCTGGAGGGTTTTCTCATAAAAATGGCACACCATCCTCATTCTTCAGTGTGGTACCCGGGCTCAGAAGGGATGCCAGAGGCTTTTGCTCAAACCACCCAGGCTTTCCTGGATGTGTGGAGCTGGCAACACCTGCTCCTCACCGCCTCAGACCAGCCCTACCTTCCCTAGCTACCTCCCCAGAGTTGCTTCCACCATGCGTTCTTCTGAACCTTGATGGACAGGGCACAAGCGACCCCATGTTCTCACACGCACATTCACCAGAACACTGAGTACCTGTGACCCCTTCCCTCTCCCACCCCCCACCTGCAAAACAGTACTGTCTTCTCCCCAGTGCTGTTCATTGGAGGGTGGTGGAGCCAGGAGATACTCATAGGCCTGGGCCTGTCAGTGAACACCTTGCTCCCTTTCCCTGGGGCTTGCGGACTGGGTGGAGGGATTCTAACGACATTTGCTCACACTCATCACCCACTTCTCAGACTCACCTAAAGGCTGCACAGGTAGAGCTGGGGCCCTTCCTTCCATAACTAGCCTTCTACTCTTCCACATCCTGACACACTTAGGAACGTCAGCATTCCTGTCAGTCACTCTCATGGTGTCCTGGCTACAGGGATCCTTCACCCAGTCATCTCCATCTCCACCTTTCTGCCACACAATTGGCTTGTCCAGCTACTCCTTCAATCTCACTATTACTCTAATCTAGGCCGTCACACCAAGATCTTGAATCCTGCAAGTCTTTTCCAGTGGCTGACAAACTTTTTCTATAAGGGCCAGACAGCTCTGCTACTGTAATGCAAAAACAGCCTCACACAGCATGCAAAACTTTCTTTCCAATTCATTTACCATGAAGATTTATAAAAACAGGTAGTTTGTACCTGTGGGCCATAGTTTACTGACTCCTGCGCTTTTCTAATGGTGACTCCATAGTGTTTCTACAACTTCCGGTCCTTAATCTGGTGGAGCCTGATCCTCCCGTGACCCCAGTGAAGCTGCCAGTCAGTCACTCCGGGTTCTTCCCCACTCTGACTTCACACACCTCTCACCCCGCCTGCATCTCATGGTCAGTTCCCTTCTCCGCCCCAGGCCCACTGTCCCCCTTTTCTTCTCCAAAGCTCCCCAATGGTACTGGAGAAGGATCTTGACTTGTGCTAACAGGGCCCATAAAAATTCCTTCTCTTGAACCTCTGTTGGGTCTTCGCTGCGTGGTGGTCAGTTTTGTTTAACAGACATCCATTAGCTCACTGTAGATTGCGCTCTCTTAAAAAAAATTCTTCCAGGGTTTGGTGACACGGCACCAAAGTTCTTTCACCTCTTTTTTCTTTGTCCCTTTTCCCCACCCTTTATAACTTCTAATAGCTACTGTATTAATGGATCCATCTTTTATATAATCGGTTCCCAAGTTTTGTTTAAGGACCTCTTCTTCCTTTACCATGTATTTCCTAGGTTGCTTTCATCACTGCCCCAACCTAAACTAGCCCTCTGAAGCAAGAACCCTCAAAATCGACTATCTCCAGCCACTACATGTGTGCGAGCTGAAGATGTCAATTTGGAACTATGTAGACAATCTGTCCACTTGAATCTCCTGCCATAACTCAAAAACCACATGTTCTGAACCCAGCTGATAGTTCCCCTCAAACTCAGCTCCTGTAGTTCTTATTGCGAATGGTACTGGCCTATTAAGGCTAGAAACCTGAGTCTTCTTTGCCACCTGCCTCCCGGGCTCATCTCCAGGACCTAATCAGGTAGTTGCCAAGTCCCACCTTGTCTGCCACCTCTGTACTGTCTCTTAAATGTGTCTTCTTCCAGTTCCAGCCCTTCATTATCTCTGATGGCAATGAGGGGCTGGAACTGGAACAAGACACATTTCTTCTTATGGGACCACTGCAAGGGCCTCTAATCTTTCTATTCCTCTACATGCCAATCCAGGTGACACTTCACCCTCCACAGCCACCTATCACAACTCTGACTCTTTCCTTATAGAGTTCCTTAAATGCCACTTGCTTCAGGAGACTCCTGACTCCCACCTTCCTCAGCTCTTGGGATTTCCTTTCCTTGAACTTCTACTCAGCACCTGTTATACCACTTAGTTTACTTTTTTTTTTTTTTTTTTTTTTGTGGCACATACAGATTGCAATGTCTGAAAGGTAATTAACATTAGGTGTCCTATAAATTATACTCAACTTGCCATTCTCAATATTCCCAACACAATATTGATGAGGGGCTTCAGCTGATTCCATGATGAGCTCCTGGGGGTCAAGGACTAAGCTTCAATCATCTCTGCCTTCCTAGCACTTGGCACAAAGTTGATTCTCAACCAACATTTGTTGAATTAATGACTGCACGAACAAGACGCTGCTATGCACGCAGTCATACCTCCTTCCCTGTTCCTCTTGCTGCACCCTTGCACCCACCATATTGCTAGGGACAGAGGCAAATGTGTGTACAGAGTGAGTGCTGGCTCCCAGAGCTGAATTATGAGACTTAGGGGGTGCTCCTATTAGCTCTTTGAGTGACTTTGAGAAAAAGAACTTTGTTTTATAGTGGCTAAAGTCAGTTAAAAGCTAAATGTTTTTTAAACTGCTACTCTTGGCCCAAATCTGGAAAATATTTTAATGTCTGTCTATGGAAGAGTTAAATTACCATTCATTCTACAGAACGGTACTCACACAGCTTTTTGTCTGATTGTTTTCTGAGACGGAGTCCCGCTCTGTTAACAGGCTGGAGTGTAGTGGCGCCATGTTGGCTCACTGCAATCTACGCCTCCCGAGTTTAAGTGATACTCCTGCCTCAGTCTCTCAAGTAGCTGGGATTACAGGCACGCACCACCACACTCAGCTAATTTTTGTATTTTTAGAGACAGGTTTTCACCATGTTGGCCAGGATGGTCTCGATGTCCTGACCTTGTGATCCTCCTGTCTCAGCCTCCCAAAGTGCTGGGATTACAGGCGTGAGCCACCGTGCCCAGCCAGTTATTATTTTTTTTTAATGTGTTATATCTATTTGTATTCACCTGGGGAAAACTTCAGAACCATATAATGTTAAATAAAGCAAGTTGTAGAGTATGTTATAATCTTTTTTTTGGTAGAGTATGTTATAATCTAAAAAAGCAAGTTGTAGAGTATGTTATAATCTTTTTTCTTAAACAAAAAGAGAAACTTCATGAATGTGTGTGTATGTGTGCACACACTCAAATGAACACAGAGAAAAGAAAGAAAGGATATATGAATTTGCTAAAGGATATCTTAGGGCACTAGGGTTAGAGGGCGAGGAGGAGATTATTAATTTTTCTTTTTGCCCCCTTAAATCCCCTAAAAACCAAGCCACCATCTGAAAGCTACCGAATAGGACAGCAAGAAAGTGAGCAACCCATGGTGAGCATTTCTAAATCCCTCAGCATCACCTCTATGCAAATTACATAACAAGTCATCTAACATTCATTGCTCCACAAATCTCACTTTAATCTGGTCTCATATATTTAGGATCAAGACATGAGCACTACCCCCTTTGCCTTTACCACCCGGGTTCCAACATACTGGTATGTGTGCAGATATGCTTTTCCTTCAAGTCAGGCGTCCCTAATCCTTTACATATGGAGTTGCCAAGGGGCCCTAAGATATATACATTTAACAAAATTGAGGTATGTAATTTAGATATAATAAAATTTATCCTTTTAAGTGTACAAATCTACGGGTTCTGACAACTGCCACCACAATCAAGATGCAGAACCTTTCTATTTCCCTAAAAAGTTTTTTCATACTACTCAACAGTAACTTCTTCTGCAATGCCCAGTCCCTGGCACCCACGGATCCACTTTCCACCCCTATAACTGTGATTTTTCCGCGATGTCACATAAATGGAGTCATACAGTACGCAGCCTTTTGAGTCTAGCTTCCCGTGCTTAGCATCACTTGCGTTGTTACTTATAACCGTAGTTCCTCTTCACTGCTGAGCAGTACCCCATTATGTGGATGTATTTCAGTTTATCTATTAACCTGCTGAAGGACATTTGTGTTTTTCCAGTTTTTAGCTATACTGAATAAAGCGGTTAGCAAGCTTTCTCCTACAGCTTAAGAAGGGCCACTTTTAACTTCCAGAAGGCCTTCAGGAGGGTGCAAAGGGTGCGCAGAGGACAGTGTGCGCTGCTCAAAGTCCAAACGTTGTTCAAGTGGGGCTCAAGTGGGGGTAGGGAGTTGCCAAGGGGCCCTAGCAGAAAGGGAGACGGGGTGTCTGCCTTGACGCGGGCTCAGACCTTGCTCCTCAGGCGGGGGCGCATTTTCTCCCCAAGCCCTCTTCACGCACTGCTCCATTCTGCAGTTAGCAGATACAGTCATGAGCAGGATACAAATTCCTAAACCAGCAAGGCTGCTTGGCAAGACAAACACACACACTCTTAAACACACACTCAACACTCACAAGACGCACACACTACGCACTACAACACAAAGCCCGTGAGGATGTAAGACGAGCCCAGACCGCGGCGAAGGTCGGGACCCGGCCGGCCCGGCTTACCTGCTGCGGGTTCATGGCGCCCGCGAGGCATTGCCCGCCCCGACCCGCCAGCACCACTACCCTGGCCCCGCACCAGCCCCTCGAGACCCCCACGCTCCCGCTGCTCCGCAATATAAGTGGACCGGAAGCATCGGCACGGGAAACTCCGCGGGTCTGCGCGGGGCCCAAGATGGCTCCGATTCAATTTCGCTTTCGTTTCCTCGGAAAGCCTTCCCCCTCCGGAAAGTTTGGCCAAGAGGAGGGGTTTGAGCAAACCTTGCGCCAGCGCTTGGTTTCACACCGGTTGCAAGTCGAACCTCTCCCTTGCATCAGAACTACGGAAGGTCTTTTTTTTTTTTTTTTTTTCTGTAAAGTGCGATGTTTTTTTTCCCCCGAGACGGAGTTTCGTTGTTGCCCAAGCTGGAATGCAGTAGCGCGATCTCGGCTCACTGCAACTCCGCCTCTCGGGTTCCATTGATTCTCTTGCCTCAGCCTCCCGCATAGCTGGGATTACAGGCGCACGCCATCACACCCTGCTAATTTTTTGTTGTTGTTAGTAGAGAGAGGGTTTCACCACGTAGGCCAGGGTGGTTTCGAACTCCTGGCCTCAAGTGATCCCCCACCTCAGGCTCCCAAAATGTGGGGATTACAGGCGCGACCCCCGCGCCCCGCCGGTACTCTTTCTTTAGGAAAACCGCCGTCCCAGTACCGAGCTCCTAATTCCCGGCACCGAGTAAAGCAAAACGAAAACAAAGGCGCTCAAAACCTCAGACCAGAAACAGCATGAGGCCTCGTCCTCCCTCTCTCTGCGGCAGCACAGTGGGGACAGCGTCTCCAAGGCGGGGTGGGGGGTGGGGGGACACAGATGTCGTCAAACGACTAAGATCCCCACCGTGGGACCTTGTTAATGCTCCTACTATGTTACAAACTTATGCAGATGTCAGCCAGTAAATAGTACCAAGAGTAGCAACAGTAGCAGTGAACAATTTAGGATCAGGTCAAAAAAACTACCCCAGCAGGCAATGGTTAAGTACTTTACCTGCATTACCTCCCGTAATCTTCAGCACAGCCCTCCCAGGTAGGCTTTATTCCCACTCTGCAGCTGTAGAAACCGAGGCTTGACTAAGGCCCCGCTGCTGCTAAATCCAGGTCTGAAGGCGGAAAGCTCACTCTTCAGCTTCTCTACACTCACTCAAGTTACACTGTTACTTTCAAAAAGATAACTTTTGTTATCTAGAGCGACAAGCACAAAGTCAAATTTACTTGATGGTCAGGCTTCTCTAACTGCTTGATTTATGTTCAAGGAAACGATTATTCTAGGGTTCAACACCATCCTCACCTATGAGAAACTTCTTTCTCTGTGTTTAATCTTAATTTTACTCCCCTGCTTATGAGATTACAGGGCAGTCCCTTCATAGCAGTATCTCCAGCTGATGCCCCTTTCAGGATGTCAGTCACTCCAAATTCACATTCCCTTGCAGACTGGTCTCTGTCTTCCTTCTAGGCCTTTGCACATTCTATTCCTTGGCCTAGAACGCACCTCCTCTGCTGCTTCCCCTGAAGCAACCTTTCAAATCTACAAGGGAGGCCCTCCCCACTGCAGGGAGGGGGAGGGGAGTGAGGGAGCAGGTGCCGTTCGTGGTTTCTTTCATCGTGCTTCTCGAGTTACTGAGCACCTACCCCTAATAGGGCACTTGCACATTCTGCTAAAAATGCCCCATCATTTAACAAAACTTTACTAAGCACCTAATTACGTGGCAGATACTGTATTAAGCATCAAGGATATGATACAAATAAGAGCGCCATCCTTTCGCTAGTCAGGTGGGGAAGATGGATGCCTTGATAATCACCACAATATCATGTACTTCTTATTCATATATCTGCCTCTAGAATTGTCAAGTCATCTCCTCGGGGGCAGGAAGCGTGTTATATTCGCCTTCAGAGGGCTGGTTAGTTGAAAGAATAACAGACCACTCAGTAGGTAGAACAATGGCCAAAACAATCGCAAGGCAACTGCACAGGAGATAAAAAATACAAAACATATGAAAAGGTCCTCAACCCCATCACATCAGAGAAATGCACAGTATAGCCACGGTGGGCTACTGTCCGTTCACCAGACAGCGTTAACCATCTGATCAGACCAGGTGGCGGCGAGGATGCAGAGCAGCCCCTCGTTACTGCAGGAAACCAGCTTACCGTTATCTAGAAAGGACTGACTATATACACCCCACGAAGTTCAGAGCTGCATTATTTGTAATATCTGTAATAGCCCCAAAACTGGAAACAATCCAAATGTCCATCAAAAGTAAAACGGGTAAGTGGTGGCATATGCCCATGAGGGAGTATGATAGAGCAACAAAAATGAAAGATCTATGCATGCAACAAGGTAGTTCATTACCTCAACATGATACCGAGTGGGAAAAGCCATATACATACTATATGATCTCACTTACAGAAGTCCTAAGCCAGGTAACAGGATGGCGGTTGCTTAGTTCTAGGGAGAAAGGCGGGAGTTTTGACTGGGAAGAAATCTTTTGGGTACTGGTGATGTTCTTCTACCTCTTGGCTTGGGTAGTGGCTACATATGTTTGCTTTCCAACAATTTATTAAGTTATACATTTATGTTTTATTCATGTTTCTGAATTTAAAAGGTTAAAACAAACAAGAACCACAACAAACTCTTCCTGCTGCAATTCCAGTCCATTTCCCCATGTTTTTTCCCTCCACTTAAGTAACATGAGTTTATCTTACCTCTGCTTTCTTGTCTTCAGGATAAACAATCTGAAAGCCTTTAACCCTTCTTCAGAAATAATCCCCAAAAGCTTTAATCACAACTACGGTTCGAGGGAAGCTGCACCTCGCTCCCCCACCCCTTTTAATCTAACAGAGGACACAGTGGTAAAGCAGTGACGTTTCCTCCACAGAGGGTCAGTTGATGCCTTGAAAGTACAACAACTGCTATTGTCATTTAATATTAGCAGCTCAAGTAACCGCAGACAGTCTCATTCAGAAACGTTTCATCTCCTCCCCGTCAGGAATTGTTTTAACTCCCCGATGGTTGTGAGGTGGTTTTTTGTTTTTTGTGTGTGTGTGTGTGTGTGTGTGTTTTTTTTTTTTTACTGTTCTATTGTAGGAACTTGACAAGTTGGATGAAGGTCTTTAAAAATTTAACCAGAATTAAGCCGGGCGCGGTGGCTCAAGCCTGTAATCCCAGCACTTTGGGAGGCCGAGGCGGGTGGATTACGAGGTCGAGAGATCGAGACCATCCTGGTCAACAAGGTGAAACCCCGTCTCTACTAAAAATACAAAAAATTAGCTGGGCATGGTGGCACGTGCCTGTAATCCCAGCTACTCAGGAGGCTGAGGCAGGAGAATTGCCTGAACTCAGGAGGCGGAGGTTGCAGTGAGCCGAGATCGCGCCATTGCACTCCAGCCTGGGTAACAAGAGCGAAACTCCGTCTCAAAAAAAAAAAAAAAAAAAAAAAAAAAAATTTTAACCAGAAAATACAGACAAGCACACACAATAAAAATCACCCATTGTTAATTCATTATTCATCCATGCCTACCCTTCCAGTGTTTTTCCCCGTAGGTAAAGGCACCACCAATACACAGGCAGTCATCTTCTCTCCCGAGGGAGGAGCTCGTCCTATTAAGAATGGCTCACCTCCCCAGGTGCCTGTGACATGACCCCAAATGTGTCCATACTACCTAGGGCTACTTATTAAAAACCACCTAAATGATGAAGAGTGACTGCCTAAAAATGAGGTACTCTTAAGCTCAGTATTCTCAGAAGTGTGGCTTCCACATAGCAGTGTCAAGCTCTAGTTCCATAAGTGCATTCAGCGGGTGAGACCTCCCCACTTACAGGGAAGGACACGTTCCTATCAGGGCTCCTGAGTTGGTTTTCTTTCCCCTGTTCTTGCTTTTTAACTATAAGTAGCTGTTAGTCTGGCTTCGTAATTGTGAATTCATTTGTTGTGGATCTTCTGTTTAACCTTACTGTGTGCAGGGATGCATATTTACAACAACAACCTTTTTTAGTCTGTAATTTCCTATAACCAGACTTTACTACACATATGGGCTATATCCAATTGGAACATCTATCTCCCTCTCTACTCTAAAGCAGATGTCTGCAAACTCCTTCTGTATTTGCTCATACGGTGATACTGTAACAGAAATGCACTGCCTGCAAATGTATGCTAAACAATTTGCAACATATTACTGAAGAAAGTAATAAATTATTCAGTTATTTTTAAGTACCAGGGCATTATTTTAGACTGGAATATGCACATAAATAGACTAATGTTCCTATCCTAACTCTTGGGAAACACATAGTAAGCAATTCACAGAGTTGCTAGGCTCAAATTTACTGCCCTCCTTTTTTGTTGCTGCTGTTTCTCCTCAATTTTTTATCATTGAGTTTTTTATTCTACTGAAACAGCTCCTACTGATCAACATTAATTTTCAAAATTCATGATGGCCTCTCACAATAAACCCACTTGCTCTGACAACCAGCAAAGCACCTTTTGGTAGAGGGAAGCGTGAGCTGCCCTACTGGCTGAGTTGTGCTCTGTGGCAGCATTTAGGCTGACATATATTCTATTGATGTTAATGACCAGAACTGGCTTTTTTTTTTTTTTTTTTGGAGATGGAATCTTGCTGTCACCCAGGCTGGGGTGCAGTGGTACAATCTTGGCTCACTGCAATCTTCATCTCCCAGGTTCAAGTGATTCTTCTGCCTCAGCCTCCCAAGTAGCTAGGACTACAGGCATGCGCCACCATCACCAGCTAATTTTCGTATGTTTAGTAGAGATGGGGTTTCGCCATGTTGGCCAGGCTGGTCTCAAACTCCTAACCTCGGGTGATCCACCTGCCTTGGCCTCCCAAAGTGCTGGGATTATAGGCATGAGCCACCGCGCCTGGCTAGAACTGACTTTTGAAGTTACAAGAAAGCAAGAAATGCCTCAGGTGCCCCCAGAAGAAAAACAGGTCTCCAAAAGCTATCAAAAAGTCCCTTTATCCACTCCAGTGAGTCATCTAGTAACAAAGAAAAAAAGTGGTATTTATCAACTATATGTGCCAGGCTTAAGTATTATCATATAATAAAGATACAACATTTGTAATGTTATATATGTAAAAGAATACTAATGGCTATCAGGCCTGTGTGCAATCTTTTGCATGTATATATAACCCATAAATGTACATTCAGTCTGATAACCACCCCACAGCGTGACCCATACAACTTGTAGTTTTATACATTACATC